AGATGTTTATTTCAGTGATTTCTCATTAATTGTATAATGTCTATTATTATATTATTATATTATTATATTATTATATTATTATATTATTATATAATTTCTAATTTTCATTTTCTATTATTATTATACAACTTCAGTGATAATTATCTCTCTTTTATTCTTTTGAGTAGAGAGCAGTCTTCTTTAAATCTGATTCACTACTCACTTACTCTTTCTTACATCTCATTCATTTGTATATGTGATATTTGTCTGAGTGTGAAGTTTTTTCTCAACAAGCAGAGTAGTATCAATTGAATGCTCTTTCACTTATCACTTCTTCATACACTATCTTTTGAGATGTTTTAGAATCACACTGATATGATAATTATAAATTACTTTGTAAATAGAATTATCATGCTCTGAAGAAGTTTGCACTTCTTATCAGTTTTTAGACATGCTATCAGATGTGATTCAAAGGTTGCTTAAGTCAGTGTAAGATTACAGGCGTACGCCGGCTTATTATATACATTATCTAAATTAATTATGTAGAATAGTTGAAGGTTGTATTGATAGATCTATCTACAGGAACATAATATAGTGGTGAGTCACGTGATCTAGTGGGATCGCTAACCGCAACGGCCGTAAGGGCCAACACCCCCCCTCAAGATAACAAGAATCACATACAAAAACACTCAAACCACCAAGATAGTCTGTCAAAACCAAATACAAATGTAAAATTAAACATTCCCAACTTTTACACTTGTAAGGCCTAGCAAAACCATGAATCGTGCAAATGCCACATTGTCTAGAGGTTTAGTGAGTTCATCCACTGTCATCTGAGCAGTGGAAATGTATTCTAAATCAATGACCCTCTGATTCAACTGTCAATGTGAAAAATGAAAACATGTGTCAATATGCTTGCTTCAGGCTGTAATGACTGCCACCTTTGTGAGATCTATGACACCCTTATTATCGGTGAGAATCTGTATCAGAGATGTAGTGATAAAGCCAAGCTCAATCATGAGATTCTGAATTCATATTGCCTTGCGGACCGCCTCACTAAGAGCCACATATTTGGCCTCATTGAAACTTAGAGATACACAAGATTGCTTCACTGAATGCCATGAAATCAGGCCATCTGCAAGCTTAAAAATGTAGCCGGATGTTGATTTCCTATCATCATTCAAGGGGCCGGCTCAATCGGAATCTGAGTAGCTGAAGGGTAGGTAGGAATCATCAGGGAAATCAGGGATAATGAAAGGATCAGTAGGAACAGAAAAATCAGTAGAAATGAACCTCTCATATGGGCCGCATCTGTAGAAAATACCCAGATCCATGATCTCTTTTAAATAACATATAACATGTAATAGAGCCTTTCAACATTGAGGTGTTGAATCAATGTTCCATTGAGTGAGTAGCAAGACAGTGTGAGTGATATCAGAACATGTTTTAACTGCAAGATATTGCAAGCAACTCACACTATGTTGATATCACTGAATTGTGAAATCAGCCTCTTTCTCAGATATAGAAGAATCATCAATATGGAATTCATTCTTCATTGATATTCTGATGACAGCTGCATCATCAAGGTAGAAATCTTCAACAAGGCATTTGATATATTGATAATATATCAAATCAATTCTCTTGTCTGAACAATTGATCTTCATATTCAAATACTTGATTGACTGATGTAGATTCTTGACTTTCAATTTCTCACTGAGTATACTCACTAGCTAATCAGCATTCTCAGGAGCTTTGAATATGATGTTGAGATTGTCAATGTAGATCATTATATAGAGGTGATGTCTGAATATATGATATCAGAGTGCTGAATCATGAGTGCTGACTGTAAATCTGAGATTGCTCAACAGAGCTGTTAAGTAATTATACCAGATCTTCACCGCAGGGTCCAGGCTGTATAGACTACTCTCAACCACGCAGACAAGTGTTTTCAGTGAATCTGTCTCAAATTCAGTGAGTTGTCTTATATAGATCTTCTTAGTGAGATGCTCATGAAGATATGTCATCACTATATTCACTTGACAGAGTGTTCAACCATGTAGTGCTGCTATTGTAAAAAGAATATGATTGACAGTATCAGTGATGACAGAAGCATAGATCTCTTCTCTAGAACTCTTCTTAAGTCAGTTATTATAAATCACTCAACATGATTTTCTAAGAATATCATCAGAATCAGCATTCAGGTCTGTGGGCCTATCTTTCTCAAGAAACACTCAACAGCCCGGAGCAATCAGTTCACCCCTTGAGATATCAGATCTAGAAATCAAACTCCATGTATTGTGTCTCTCCAGGTCAGTAATCTCGCGTTGCATGAACTTCTTTCAATAATCTCCTACCCCCCCTGGCCGAGATGTGGCATCCTTGTAGAACTTCAGAAGATTACCTGTAATAAGGCTTGAAGTGTAAGTAGCCAGCGATTTCACAGGCTGCAACCATGTGGAATTCAGATCATCAATATCAGAAGTGTTCTCATCATCATTAATCAGATGAATATCAGATTCCAGTATACTGGCATTATTAGTGAGTGTCACAGATGTAACAACTGATTCAATAATACAATTGATGAATTTCACAGATGTAATGACCAGTTTTTCAGTGATTGAGAATCTCACATCACTACTGACAATAATCTTGTCAGATTCAGAATGTCATAGATGATATATTGATATGCCACTGAATTCAATGATACAATAGAAATCAGCATGTAAAGAAAGCTTATCTGCAGGCCGCTGAGATTCATGCAAATGAACAAAAATCTCTGCACTTAATCAGTGAAAATGCCTTACATTCAGCAGGGTATTTGTAAGTGCACATCAAGAAATCTTATATGAACTTGAAATCACAGAGATCTCTGCAGTAGAGGGCCAAAATTTCAAGTTGTAAAGAACTGTAGATGTGAGAGTATTATTGATTATTACAATCACTGTCTCTAGAACATCTGCCCAGAACTTCTTAGAGAGATTATCTTTCAAAAGAGCAGCTCTAACTCATTCCATGATAGTACAGATCCCACGTTCGGAAACATCATCCTGATGTGGTGAATGTGGTGCCATTGATTCTCATTTGATATCATATGAATTCATAACTGTGTGCATACATGTGAATTGAAAAACATTATCAATATCAGTTCATAGAAAAGCAGGGACTGTATATCTGAGATTATTCATGAATCTGAGCCACAACTCAAAGTATTGAACAGCCTCATTCTTGGACTTTAAAAAATACACTCAACAGTAGCAAGTCGCGTCACAGGTGATAAGCATTCAGTATTTCATCCCCTGGCGGGACTCTAAGGAGTGATCAGAGAGATCTTTCAATGTACATTCATCATCTGCAAGGTCAATATGAACCTTCTCAATGAGTCAAATAGATCTAGGCATCAGTGTTTTCAAATAATCTCACATCATATCAGCCTTGACACATTCCTTGCAAAAGAACTTAGTCTTAGAATCTTTAATTATGACTCCAGTATGGGAATCCTTGGCCATAGCAATTATAGCATCAGTGTGAATGTGACTGAGGTCACAGTGTCAGTTCAAAAGAGTCTTTGATATTCTTGTATTCTTGAGACCTGTATTCGGGACTGTAGAATCAATGTTATTAACAGTAGTAGCAGCAGCCACAGAAAGATCAACTTTTCAATCAAAATCATACTCATAAAGCATCATTGCAATGTACTTGACTGCTCTGTTTGAATGATTGAGATCCTCATTGAACTCTCACTTATTGATCTTATATATGTTGTTCTGAGCAGTCTGAACTGTATGAAAAATAACACCATTCAGGACTCTGCAAATGAAAAATGAGGGAATAGTGAAAGACAATGTAAATCAGAATCCCTGATCTTCAAGCTTTGCAAATGAGAGCAGGTTAACTGTAATATTAGAAATATAGTGAATATTCTGCAAGTTAACATCACCACTCTCAATCTCTAAGATGATAGTCTCAATCTTCTTGACAAACTCAGTTCCCCCAGTTGCAGAATTGACAGAGATATTATCATTAAAAGGTTTGATATTTGAAAAAGAATGAAGCTCACTCATCATATTCAGGCTTGCACATGTGTCCAAATATCAAGATCTAGAGGATGATTTTCCGGTGACTATGAAAGAGAAATAGGACTCAATCTTTGTAATTGCTGCATTTGCTGCTGATTGAGAACTCATCAAGTCATTCTTCTTCTCTTTCTTCTTGTCATTCTTCTTGTCATTCTTCTTTTTCTTTTTATCAGAGTGTAAGATGAAACATCTGTCAACAGTATGTTCATATCTTCTGCAGTGAATGCACTTTCATACAGGTGTGCTTTTATTCTCATCTTTGTTCTTATCTTTATTCTTGTTCTTTTTCACAGTCACAGAATCAGTCTGAGACTGCTTTTTCCACTCAGTGATGATCTTCTTGAATGTATGATTGATCAGTTGCTTCATCAAATCATCAATATCAATGTTGATAATGAGTCTCTGATCAGTGAAGAAAAACTCATTCAAACATGTCTTGACAAATGATCTTTGATAATCTTGTAGATTGTTGAGAAAGAGATCATGGTATATATTCTCAGTGCTCTGACAGAGCTTCTTGTGACAGATAACAAGATAGCAGAAATGTCTCTGAAAAGTAAGATAATCATTCTTCTTGACTTATAATTTTGTCAATTCCTTGAAGACATTAACTCATTTCTCTGTCAGTGATATTGTATATTCCACATTGATCTTATCTCACAGGGCTGCAGCATTGTCAGCTTTCAAGGTTTCAATAGTAGTTCAAATGTTTCCAATAAGACTCAATAGCATACACCTATATAGAGACTTAGAATGAATCCTTCACTTCTTGAAGTCAATATGACATGTAAAAGAGGATTCTCATTGAGTTCTCAATAGAATGTCAGTTTCATCAATAACTTCCGCATCAGTCAACATATCAACACACCAGACTTCATAATTAGAGTCATCAAATGTGATCACTGATTTGATATCTAGTGCATATTTGACTTTCTTCTGATATTCTCACAACTCATCTCTTGTGATGTCTCTTTGTACAGGTGTAGTGAGATGTTGAGTGATTTCAGCCACAGTCATCTGATTCTGTAGCATCATCTGCATAAGATTCATAAGATTGCCTGCGGTGTAATAGATAGATTGATTCAGATCATCATTAAAAGTCAGCATTTCAGAGATGAGAGATGGTGAAGAATTCAATGAGTTGAAATGAACAGATTCTGCAGATGAATGTTGAGGTTGACTCTGCTTTTCTTTGTCCTGAAGTTTCTTCATTGTCTCATCATCAAATTCCATACTCTGGTGAAAACTGACCTCAGCCTTATCTTGCAAGTCAGAAGCTTTCTCATAATGAGTGATCATTCTATCAATGAGTCATCTAGTGAAGCATGTGGTTCTGAACCTTGAGCTGGACTCTGAAGTAACAGGTGTATCACTCATATCAAGATGACTCTGCTTCTTCTAGATGTGTAAAAAAAAAAGGTAAAAAGTGATATTCTTCACAATGAAGAACGCACTTTCTCAAAAATATAAAGTATATGAATCCGCTGACTGGCAGATTCAGGGAAAATGAAATATCTCTAATAAAGAGTGAGAGTCTTTTCAAAAAAGGTGAACTATTCATGTCAAAAATATGTTGGTACAACATTCTAAAAAGAAAAATGTGCCATTCAGACTATAACCTGTAGAATAGTTGAAGGTTGTATTGATAGATCTATCTACAGAAACATAATATAGTGGTGGGTCACGTGATCTAGTGGGATCGCTAACCGCAACGGCCGTAAGAGTCAACAAATTAGTGGCCGCTAGAGCCCCTTTACATTTGTAAGCATGTTCGGAAGTGGCCGCGTTATTATCCGGCGGTCGTACATTCTTCCGAATCACACAGAACAGCAGTAGAAGATGTTACATCTCAGTCACTCATACATCTGCACTGAAGAATGACAATGCAGATGTCATGAATTGAATGAACTTAAATATCTATACATAAACAAGAGTCTCTGTCATCTGAACAAATTTCTAAGTCTCTGAGATTACTTCTGAAGAAGTTACTGATTGATGTTAATACAAAGTGTATATTAACTGTAAGTGATCAGAACATATCACTTTCAACTGTCAATCAGTCTACATGCCTTCTTGCTCAAAGAATAAATCAGTGCCTGTTCATGTCAATCATGTTATATTAGAGAAAGATTCAGAAGATAACTATGAGAATATCTCAGTGAAACAGGCAAAAGATTAACTTCTGTTCAAATTTGCAAGTAGAAGCTTGAAGAGGTTAGATGATAATAATTTGAAGAGAAAATGACAATGAATGTGATTCTTATATCTACTATGATAGATAACATGTATAATATAAAGACTACGATAGACAGCAGTCTATGTCATTATGCAATGATTAAATCTTCAGTCATAAAATATTATAATATTCAGTGTATTCTCTTATCAAAACTCTGACTTCTTGTAGAATTTGATGATTCAAAAGATATTTACATCTGTCACATAATAAAACTAAACATAGATATTGAAGAACATCAATATGAAGATACTTATATATATAAAGTTAATAATCTTGACTATAATCTTATATTAGAACTTGTCTGACTATCTGAACAAGACATCTTATTAAATGCTTAAAATAGAAGCTTATTATTCTCTAATAATGATAGAATTCATGAAGATGATATTCACAAGACTATGAATCTGACACAGATTTCTGTCAACACTTATGAAATACTCTGAAAAAGAAGTTATTAATAAGATCACTGATAAGATCACTGATAATAGAATTATATAACAATCTACTTAATCAGTCTGACTGATATCAAAAGAGCTCTAGAAAGATTATTCTGTGTTATAATAATAGATTCTCATATAAAACTCTCTTAATAGTATCATGAATATTTAGATATCTTCTGATAAGATAATAATATTACAAATCTACCTCTCTTACAAGGTTCAGAAGTAAATCACAGTATCAAGTTGAAAAAGAAGAATGACAAAGACTCTGAATTATTATAAGGCCTTCTTTATAACATGTTCTGAGATGAACTTCTTCTTCTTTAAAAGACACTTAATAATCTGTTAAATAAAGAATTCATATATATTAGTAACTTCTCTGCTGCAGCTTCTATTCTCTTTACAAAGAAATCAGATAAAGAACTCTGATTCTGTGTAAACTATTAAGAACTGAATAGATTAATAAAGAAAGACTGCTATTCTTTATCTCTTATCAATAAAACTCTAGCTTGTATTAGATAAGCTCAATGATTTACAAAGCTAGATGTTATTACTGTGTTTCATAGAATCTGTATCACTGAAGAAGATGAGTGATTTACAGCATTCTGAACATAATATGATTTCTTTGAATAAGTAGTCATACTGTTTGAACTGACTAATGCTCTCAGTATATTTCAGAAGTATATTAACTAAGTACTCTGAGATTTTCTTGATAAATTTGTATCTGCTTATCTCAATAACATTCTCATCTTCACTGATGAGTTCAGAAAAGAATATCAAGAATATGTGTGAAGAGTATTATAACAATTATAAGAAGTAAAACTACTGATAGATATAGATAAGTGTGATTTTAAAGTTAAAAGTGTAAAATATCTAAACTTTATTATAGAAGCTGATAAGAAAATCTGAATAAATTCTGAGAAGATCTCTGCTATTCTTGAATAAGAGGTCTTATACACTGTGAAAGATGTACAGAGCTTCATTGAATTTACTAACTTCTATCAGTGATTTATACAGAATTTCTCAGATATCACTAGATTACTCATATAACTAATTAAGAAGAACTTGATATTTCAATAATCAGCAGATACTGAAGCTGCATTTATATGAATAAAGAAGATATTTATTAATATCTCTCTGCTGATAATATTTAATTCCGATTATAAGACAGTTGTTAAAGCTGATTTCTCTATGTCACAGAAGAAGCTATATTGCAATATAATAATGAAAATGTCTTACAATTATGTGTTTTCATATCTAAGAAACTGAGTTCTGCTGAATGTAATTATGAAATCTATGATAAGAAACTTCTTACAATTATACACTATCTAGAAGAATGAGACTCTGAACTTCAAAGTGTTTTCAAATTTAAGATAATCACAGATTATAAGAATCTCAAGTATTTCACAATTATCTGTAAGCTTACTGAATGACAGATGTAATAATCTGAGCTATTAAGCTGTTTTGATTTTATAATACACTATTACTCTGACAGTCAGAACTCAATGACAGATACTCTTTTATAATGAGAGTAAGATATATCTTCTGATATGACAGACAACTGCTGAATAAACTAAGAGCATCAGCTCTTAAATCTGAAAATATTAATTAATTATAATGAAATAACTTATAACACTATACATACTTCTTCAATTAGAATATCTTCTTCGCCTGAATCTACACTGAATGAATTGTGATATATAACAGCTTAAACTGACAAACTTCTTCAAGTACTCACTGAAGTAGTATATTAAAAAGTACTCTGATTCCTCTCAGAACTATATATAAAAACTGACATCTTAGAGTACTCAATCAATGATAATAACACTTTGTAATTCTGTGAATAACACTAAGTCTCTCACTTCAAACTCTTACACATATGAATAATACAAGAGATGCATAATTCTTATATAACTAATTATTCAGATCATGAATAACTGTATTAAATAATCTCTCAAGAGTTCTACTAATCTGAGATATTAAAGAGCATCAGATATTTTATCTGAAACTATAATTATTATTCTTTTATTATCTTATGAAAGAACTGTAGAAAAGATCTACTGAAGTCACTTAATATCTCTGATAGAATCTGATGAGATATAGTAATTAATTTCACTGTCAATCTCTCTAAGAGTAAGAATTGTAAGAATATTCTCATCATTGTTAATTAATTGAGTAAAGATATAATATTGAAATCTTGTTATAAAATAAATACTGAATAAGTTGCTGAAGCCTTCTTATAAAGTTTATTCTATTAAATGCATGAGTTGTTAAGATCTATTATATCTGACTGAGACTGTTAATTTGTAAGCACTATCTGAACAAGAATCTGTCAGATTCTCAAGATCATATATTACTTATTAACTACTTATCACTCTGAGACTAATGATATATCAGAGTGAATAATTCAGATAGTAAAGAATTATCTTTAAAAGTTCTGTAATTACTTATAAAATGACTGACATAATCTTCTGCTACACACTGAAGTTACTATCAATTACTGAGATGTTATTTTAACAGATATAAGCTTATTCTTTCTTACATACAGATATTACATGAAAGTATTGAATCTTCTAGAGATCACAAAGTTCACATTAAACTCTTACAGTTCAATTCAGATTATTAACAATATAATAACAAAGCTCTCAGATACTTATAACTGAGTAGAAGTCTTCATAGCAAGTACTAAACAAGATTAAAAAGATTAAATCAATGTTCACTGAGATTCTGCTGAGTAATATAAGATAGAAGATCTGATATGATTAAATCTTAAAAATATACAGATTATATATTCATCTCATATACTGCACTATCTGTGACAGGCTGCGCCTGATCAATTATATAGACTATTTCATTACACTTCATGAATTCCGCTGAAAGCTCTGATTCTCGGTTACTGATTCTCAGCTGAAAAACTCACAGAATGTCTATTCTTCCGCGCTGACACTTCACTATATATATGTATAAATATTCACTCTGATCACTGATTTCTGTACTTTCTCTTTTTTCCTTCTCTAATATTTTTTACTTTTGTATTATATAATCTATATATTATACTGATCTATTTAATGTAGATCTCTTACACTTGAAAAATATTCATTATCATCTTATTAAAAATAATTATTCACATTCACTGACTTCTTATTAAAAAGTAATTACTCATGAAGAAGATATTCAAATACATAATAATGTATAAGAAATAGAAGAAATGAACAATCAGTTAAGCAGACACTGAGTCTTAATCAGTTAAGTAAACACTGAGTCTCTACATAGAAGCTTGCTTATCAGTCACTCTGACTCTGTAACAAGATCTTATAAGAGAATATTAGTAAAAGATCTAAGAGTTCTGACATCTTAGATATATAAGATATTTATATAATTACACTTCTTCTGATTTCACAGATATCACACATTCAATGAATAATATAACTATGTCTACTAATAATATGAGAGAACTCTTGAATATAAGCATAGATACAGTGCTACAGTGACTCTGAGTAATGTTGAAATTATAATAATAGTAGATAGCTGATATGCATGCAACTCAATAACATTAATACAAAGAAATTCAATAATTATCTTAATAAGAAACTTCTACACAGACAATTTCAACACTGACAGAA